CTCCTTCAGGAATTGCTGATTCTTTTGGAAGTTTATTCTGTTGACTTTCCAATAATTTTGATGTTTGTGTTACTTTATATCTGTAAATAAGAATATTAAGAAATTAAAATAAAAATAATAATATTTCATTAAAATTGGAAGAAAGATTAAATATATAAAATAATACATATAAAATCAAAATTTTATAATTATTAAGAAAGAATAAAATTTTAAAAAATATAAAAATAGTTTATTTCTCTATATAATTGATTTAAAAATTAATTTATACTTTTCAATATCATCAAATTGAGTCTTCATTTGTTGTTTTCTGTGTTGTATCCATAAATCATCATATGTCACACGCTTCTTTTGACTTTCTTGAGATTCACTTTTTAATTCATCTTGTAAATTACCAGTTGCATCATAAAATTCATTTGCTTTAAATATAATTTAAAAATTAATTATTGAAAAAAAAAATAGTCAATTTATTCTTTAATAAACTTACTATTGCTCTCAAATTGCGTATCAAAATTATCCCAGACTGATTTTTCTTCTGTTATGTTATCAAAATGTATAGGATATTTTTCTTGATCTTGATGACCAAAGCTATCAGTATCATCAGTAATATTTTGCAATTGTCTTCTAAATATGTTTCAAATTGCTTTACTAACTAATTCAAAAATAAATATTATGCAATATATTATAAAAATAAATAATACCTTCTCTCATTAGAATTAATTAATGGCTGTGATGCACCAAATGCTTTCTGATAACATACAGGTGTATATGTCAATTTGCCAAATATATACATTGACATACCTATAAACGCTGTCATAGCAGGTCTAGCCATACCCGAAGACTTAGGTACTATCAAATATGTTGCTAATGAACTTAGAAACGAATAAGGAATAGCAGATTTAAAAACAGCCTCTGTTTTCATACAATCTTGAAAAATCTTCATAGTCTCTGGTGTTGCATTAGGAATCTACAATTAATCAATAACTTCTTATTTTTAATTCTAAACAATTTTTCTCTCTTTCTTTAATTTAATATCAAAAAATATTGTTTTAAAAAATATTATAAGTATAATATGTATAAATATATAATAATAAGTATAATATACGATGTGTAAACTTAATTACCACTTCCTGTAAAAGTTCCATTTCGCTTTTCTCCTTTTGTTGATACATTGTGCACAATTTGTGCGATATTACCGAACATTAAGGTTACTTGTATATTTTCCGTATAACCTCACTAGAAGATCTTAAAGCTTCAAGCATATTCATATAAAAGATCAGATGACTAACCTTTCATGTATTTAATGATTTAAAGCTTATATATTAATAATCAATGCCGTTTAATAAAAATAATAGACTATTTCAAACAATATACATCATCTTTTACATACATCTCATATTCTATAAAAATAATCTATTATAATAATTCTTTTAGCAAATTCAATACAATATAATATGCTATTAACACATTTTAAATAGAGCGGGAAATTTTAAATATTATCCTATTTAATTAATTAATTTAATAAATAAAGATAAAACTATAACAATATTTATATAATTAAAATAATTAGACTTCATTATTCAATATATTTATTTAATAGTAAATTTTTAAATTATATATTATATATAATATATAATTATAATATTTAAAAAAATTTTTTGTGTACTTAAGTCAAAATGATGATTGATTAATTCAAAATTAAATTTTATAAATATAAAAATAATACATATAATAATAAAATAATAAAATAATATATAAAAATAAAATAAATTAAAATTATTGTTTTACATTTATTCTCTTATTTATTTCTATATAAAATATATAATTTATTAAGAAAAGATTATACACTCACGTTGTATAATATAAATATAATACAGGATTTTTTTGTTAAATACCGTTGAATATTACACAATTGTTAGAAAAATGATATAATTCAAAATTTACACTTATTAAATTATTGGTATAGAAAAAATCATTATTATTTTTGTTTTACTAATAAAATACTGTAAATATTTTTGCAAATCATAAACTTTCAATTTGATACTTTGATATGATATTCTCATAGCGATTCGAACTAAAATTGTTTTCTTTAAAATCATAATTTTTTAGTTATAGTCACTTTTTCACAAATGTGCAATATATACGTAAGATATTTAAAATATATATATAAACATATTAAATGTTAGATAAAATAACACTATATTCATATGTCACAAAGATATAAAAAAAATATATAAATATATATCAAATTTAATATCCTTTTTTATATAATTTTCCTAAAAATAGGCAATTACTCAATACATTATTTAATTATTTGGCAATTTTATTATAATAAACTATTATTATATATCTATTATTGATTATATTTGAATATCATGTTAAAAATTATTAAAATGTAAAAAGAATTATTAAGTATTAACTTAAATTTATCAATAATTATTAAATTATAATATTATAAAATTATATATGGTATTTTAGAGTTTTTCTATTTTAATTATATATAAAATTATTTTTAAACATGTTCACATCTTTGACAATTTATATTCGTATTTTGAATATTTTCTCAATTCTATTTCGAATATGTATTTATGTTATGCACAGCATAAAATATTTTATTTGCATTTAAGTGTTAATTTAATAAGTATGAAAACTTACATTATATGTATGTATGTATGTATATATACACACATCTACAACTACTGCAACTTGCCAGAAAAATATTCCATATGCTTTGTTTTATCCATATATATATATTATATATATATATATATA